GTTACCTCTGGGGTTCCAATGGACGCCCTAAGCTTGGTTACCTCTGGGGTTCCAATGGACGCCCTAAGCTTGGTTACCTCTGGGGTTCCAATGGACGCCCTAAGCTTGGAACAGCCAGTTTGAATGACACAGGCGTCCCAGCTGTGCTGGCCCTCTGCTGAGCACGCTCCGAGGCTCTTTTCCTTCTGCTCACTCTGGGCGTCCCTGACGGCAGTGTGGAGCCCTCCGACTGCCCACCTGTGTGCCAGCTCCGCTTCGTGTGCGTGAGGCTGCTTGCGCCCCCCCGCCGCGATTTCTCCTGGCGAGCGCCCAGTGCCAGCTGAGCCGTCCTGTTCGCTGCGTGGCGCACAGCCCACTGCATCCGCTAACACAGCCGCCCTGGCTCCCCGTTCACGGGGCATCTCTCCTTCCCCCTTTCCATCTTGGCGATCCAAATACCGCAAGTAGGCAGATCACGTCCGCTAATCCGTTTTGTCCACTCTGACTTTCCATTGGCGAGTTGAACCCACTTACGGGTAAAGGAATTTCTGGTAACGAAAAGGCTACTGACGTCCTGCGTCTTTCACGTCTTTGTCCCTCGGCCTTCCCATGGTCACTAAGTTCCTGGAGCACACCACCCTGATGCCCGACCTGTGCATTTCTGAGGTGCTATTTTCTGACAGGTCACCTTTGGGATTACAATTAGCGTCTTCAATTTGTAGCAGCCCACTGTGAGTAAGACCGGCTGCCTTCGGCGGTGCGCCCCCAGCTCCACCACCGCAGGCCCCTCCGCGCTCTCTGACGGCCAGCCTGTCCCGTGCAGTTGCCGCCCGCCACGCTCACGCCGTCTCGGCACCGCCTTCCGGACGTCATTCAGGCGAGGGGCTGGGGCGGAGTGCAGCAGCAGACCCGCACGCCGCCTGCGTGCTCGTCTCTTCCCGAGGCTCTGACTGCGCCCCGGGGCCGGAGGGCGCCCCGAATCAGCGCCGGTGGGCAGTCTCTTCCCGGCGCTTCGCTGCCTGGGCTCGGCGGGACGTGGGAGCTTCTCCGCGGCCCCTCTTCCGACATCACTGCACACAAATGCCACTCGCTCTGCATCCTGCACCGTACGGGACTCGCTCCGTTTCTGGAAAGTTCTGGAAGCATCCTTTGGTTTCCCTCGGTGAGCTGACGTCGGCTGTGACACTGACTGTTCGACATCTTTTCCTTTTATCTTTTTCTTGCCTCATTGCCCAGAAGGACTTCCAAAAGTGAGCAATAGTGGCGCTGGGGACGTCCGGTCTTGTTCCGGCCAGGCTTCCGGCCTCTCACCCTTGAGTATGAGGTTGGCTGTGGGGCGGCCTTTTATCCAGCTTTTGTGATATTTAAATAGGTCCCGTTGATCCCCATTCTTTGGTGAGTTTTTATCTAAGTCACGCTGGCTCTTGCTTGTTGGTGTGATTTTCGGCTGTGGTTGACCTGGTGAGAGGCACCGAGTTGCGCCCTTTGAACCAGCCCCGGGCCGGTGGACTGTCCTGCTGGACCGTCCTGCTGGACTGTGCGATTCAGGCGCCGCCCTCTCCTCTGCCTCCTCCCCTCCCCCCTGCAGCGGCCACCAACCTTCATTCTCAGCCCCTTTCTGAGCTCCTCGGTGAAGCATCTGGATCTTCCTATGGCCACATGTTCATCTTTGGCACGGCTGTTTCGGGGGGCCCAGGCTCCCCCACCGTGGGTGGGGTCTCGAGTCTCGCTTCTGCCGCTCAGCTCCCGGGCCGAGTGCCCATCCCTGAGCTTTCTGAGTGGGCTCCTTCTGACAACTTCCACCTCCCTGTTAAGTTTCTTTTTGTTTCCACATCCTGTGTCCTTGCGTTTTTTTGGTCCATGGTTTCCAGTGGCTTTTACCCGGCTAAGTCATTTCACACACTGGGCTTCCTCGTAGCATCTGTCAAATATTTTCCCCGTGATGAAGCTTTACTTTCCTGTTGCTTTCACGCCGTGTGTTCACTGGTAACCGGACCTTGAGTACCTGTGTGGAGCGTGGGCTTCTGCGCCCCTGTGGGCTGCTCCTGCTGCTGGCTGGGCCAGGGCCTTGGCCCCCCCGGGGCCTACCCAGCCCCGGCAGAGCCCGAGTTCTGCCGACTCGCGGCCGGTCTGCCCCGTTTGGGGTGCGAGCGTGGCCAGGCAGAACGCCCCCTTTCGCCAGGCACCCCGCCCGTGTCTGTGTGAGGCTCCAGCGCCCAGGTGGGTGCCTGGTGGGTTCGCAGCTCCCGGCTGTCTACAAGGCGAGACGGGCCCTGGCGCCCCTCCGGCCACCGCTGCGGACAGACGCGGCCTTACGGCCTCCGAGTCCCAGAGCTGTCGGCCCTGTGTGGCGCCTCCACCCCGAGACCCCCAGGTGTCCCGGGGAGCCTCGGCGCTGGCGCCCCGTGCGTGAAGGGGGCCCCGCGGCGAGTCAGG